TGAAAGGTATTTAACCTCTAGATCTTATATCTGGAAAAAAAGCCATTTAATAGGGTTTTGGTGCTTCTAAGTGTGACAAATTTTGCTGTATGATGGAGTTTTAGCACACTGTGTGTATTTTTTGTTGTCGTTGTTTAGTAGTTAATGTTTCTTAGTATTCTAAAACTTGCAAACTTACTGGGATTGTCAGAAGTTCTGTGACTTATAGTGGTGTGGGGTGGGATTAAGGAGGATTCAAATAAAATCCTCTCAAGTATTTTCTAGGATTTATGTGTTGTTGGGTAAATAGTATTTTAAAGTTTGCTAGAAGTAAATCATCCTTTCGTTGTGGTTTGGCTGTTGGCATCTGTAGAATATGGTTGAAACCTATTTACCAAAAAGTGCAAATGCATAATGAAGTACATGGGAGGGTAGGTATTAAAAAGATGCATGAAGCATGAGAGCCTTCAGAGTGCTCTAAAATATGCTTACATTCCCAGATTATAATTAAAATTGTAAAATTTCATCGGGGTACAGTTTATTTTTAGAATCTACAATGACTTGTTTCAGGTAGAGGGTCTTCTTTTCCCAATAAGAATTGCGTATCATTTTGGAATCACTTGGAAATCCCACATACCCAAGGGATGGAGACTGTCTTAAAATTTATGGCCTCGGAGGGTCTGGTTTAGATGTAGTGATTGAAACGTGAGGTCATTTAGTTAAGGGCTTCCCAAGACACAGCCGCTTGAAAAGGAAGTGCTCATAACCTACTATTATCTTTGTGTAGCTAGGGAAAAATAAAGCATTTTGACCCATGAAATTTATGCCAGACACTGCCTTGAAATCAAATGTCAAACGGCACCAAAGATAAGTTCAGAGGTGTTTCTGAAGCCGTGAAAGCGGATGTCTTCACAGGCAGGTGTGTGTGCGAGCTGATCCCCGGCGGGACGACCTCAGCGAGTGCAGAGCGAGCGAGCAGCGTTGGGGGTGGCTGAAGAAGCAGGCGCTGCCTTGAGGAGCCGCTGGGCCCTTCCTCCTGCAGGCCTGACCCCCACGCGGGCCTGTGCAGGGGCCTCTGCGGAGATGTGTCCTGCGGCCGCAGGGAGGGGCTCTCGAGGTCCTCCCGTCCGGTCCGTAACAGCAGCTGCCTCGTTTTTCTTGCTTTCCCATGGGCCAGCATCCCCACGGGGGTTTCTGATACCCTGTCTGCGGTTTGGAGGAGATGCAGGATGCCGTGATGCCCCTCAGCAGATGCACAGTCCCCCCTGTCCTACTCGAGGACACCCAGCAAGCGGTGGCTGGGTCTAATCAGTGCAGGAGCGTTGAGCCACCGCCAGAATCCCAGCCAGGAGGTGTGCTGAGGTCCTTGCTGGGCAGAGAGCAGAGTCTAGGCTGAGGCTTGCAGTATTTTGGAATAGTATAGTGGAGTTAAAGATCCGTATTCTTACTTCTCTTTCCTTTTCGTACACAAACACCTTTTTCAAGAAACAGCAATTGCCAAACTCAGCTGGGTTTTCGTTTCTGTTCATCCTGCATTAGGATTTTAAACCCACCTGTTCTGGAACCACCCAAGCAGACTGGGAGGTTCCCTATTCCCATCCGTCCTATGTGAAAGTTTCCTTTCTGCGTCTTCACGCACTTGGGATTTCTTCTTTATGAGAAATAATGTGCACAACCTCGGACCTGAAACCAGAAGCAGAAGTGGATTTTGTCCTACATTGGGAGAAATTTCCGCAAAGCTGCCTTTGGTACTCATAGCTTGGGAAGCTGACTTTGCCTCCTCTTTTTTTACCTCATCTGGCAGGCTCCCGATCTCTGATTTCATCTGAGTCCAGGATGAGCAGGTTATGCAGAGAGATGTCTGTAACTATTACTGATGTTGAAGCACCCAGCTTTTAGGGCTGCTTTATTTGCGTCATTGACCTAATATCCAAGATAGTCATCTTCACTCTATTTTTTTTGTGTGAACCAGGGTATGAGCTAGTATAGAATACTGAAGTGGCCTAGTTTTGTTTTTATTTATTTTTTCAAGCAGAAATGCATCTTTTTAGTCAGGCATTCCAGTATTTTAGTGTAATAACCTCTTCTTCCCCAGCTTCTTTGCAAGAGATAAAAGAGGAATAGATACAAAAGGACTACATCAATACTGAAAAAATGCTGGATTTAACTGCACCGGGGCCCATTTTATTGTCCCCGAGAGGAGCTCAACTTGCATGGCGAGGTCTTCTGCTGTGCCCTTCCTCAGGAATCTGGTCTCATCCATGTTGTCTGATTAAAACCAGCCTATGGCTGGGGTTACTTGCTGGGGAAAAGGGAGTTAGGGGAAAAAAAGAAGTCCTAAAATCCCGTGTTCCTAAAGGGTAAACAGCATAGAAGAGAAGATAGTGCTGAGGCAGAAGGCACATGAACACAGAACATAGTGTTAGTAGAAATGCAAGGCTCTCAAGGGTGGGATTTGTTTGTTTTGGTTTTACTTGTTTTTATTTTTTAAGTCTTGCGCTAAAGATCAAGACCAGGAGCCGAAAAGGTGCATTAGTGGCTTAGTGCTGGCATCATTTTGCTACTGCAGAATGCATGCTTAGCCCCTTAGGTAAAGGCTTCCCATAGAGTGCTTTCTAAATAAGAGTATATTTATGGTATGATTTTAGTTTAGTAAAGCTGGCTTGACTTTCACTTCATTTCTTTTTCATTATGTAGAGAACTTTCTGCTTTGACTGTAAATTTCCTCCTGGATCTGTAATTTCATGCTGCTGGGGTTAGAGCTCAAATGTCAAGTTATCATAGGCTATGAAAAATAAAGACCCTTCTCATGAGCAGCAAGGGAAATGCTGTTGAAAGTTACACTGAACCAACACTGGAAGGGAGAAGAATAAAAGCTTCAGAAAATTTCAGGATTTTGGTTGCTGCAAGATGCTACCTCTTCTGTATCAGTTTCAGTTTAGTGAACATCAGCATGTGTTTCTCTTTCCCATGAATAGTAGATGAGGAAGGAAGTGAATGTCTTCCCATCCTACAGACAAATGTTGATTTTATATGTATATTTATATATATATATATATTGAGAGCTGGCTTGGTGTGCTCCTGTGGGTTTTTATTTTCTTTCAGGAGCAAAACAGTGCTTCCTCAAAAGCTGTGAGCAAAGGCAAAGGCACAGGAGTCATTTATCCTCAGACCTGAGGCCATGGCACTGTTTTTTCTTATAGCAAACGGTTTTCTCTGACACTTTTGAAGTTGTGAATGCAATTTTTTAAATAATAAAAAATGTACTCTTGCTTCAGAGTTTGAGAGTTGAAGATTTAGTCTCATGCTGACAGAAAGAGTGGAAAATATTTCACCAGTGACACACAGGAAGCAACTTCTGACAATGTGGGGTCGTCTGTAGGCAATGTCTTGTGGTCCTTTTCGCAAGAGAGAGCGTTTTTGACACACACATTCCACTTAAACTGTAGATTTTTTTTTTCAATATGCTGTGAATTTGTCACCTAACTGCAAAACAAATTTAAAGAGTAAATACAACAAGCTTGGATGGATTCACATATTGTATTTTCTAATTTTTAATCCTAAAAAAAAAAAAAACTTGGAATAATGTGTTAGCTGACTTTGGAAAGTGAGGCAGCATATTTTCTAAACATGCACATTGTTCTTAAGTTACCTGGTGTCTCACTTTTGAACAAGAGCAATGTGCGACTTACCTGCTTCCAGCAACAGACCCGGACCTCTCGCGCAGGTGATTGCTCGCGTACCTAGCTCAGTTAGGATAGCTACTACAATGAGCTGGATTTTAGCCGCTGTGAGACCTGTGCAAAGGCAGTAACTAGGTTTTTATCATATCCTGGGTGGGCAGCTGTGTGTAAAACTTGCACCTGCTCGTGGAATAGTGACTGCGGGATAGTGGTAATGCAGTAATGTTGTGTAGGTAATAGGTCAACTTTGGAATACTGACGAGGAGCGGATATAAAAGGTTAGAAAACATTATGAAATTCAGGTTTAAAATGGATCCCATAGATTAAAGTGTCATTTGAAAAAATCTCGTTTTGTATGGCTTCGTTTGGAAACTTTCAATAGCAATTTGCTTTCTCTGGTTCTCCGTGTTGGTGGCTAACGTGCTGGGAACTTAAATAACACGTATGGCACCTCCTGAGCGCGCCGCAGTGCTGTGTGCCGGCAGGAGCCTGCCGGTTGCTCCGCGCGGGGATGCAGATGAGGGCAGCAAGGGCGCCTACACTGGAAGACACCTGCGTGTGGTGGGGAAAGGTGCAGGGGCTGCTCCTGCCGCTACTCCCCGCGTGCCTGCAGCGCTCCACGGGCCGCTGCTCAGCCTGCCCGGGGGCCGCACGGGCTGGCCCGCCGCCCTGCGAGCCCTCGGGACGCTCCTTGCTGCCCCTCTGCTTTCATGCAACTTCGCCCCACCGCGCGCTCCTCTCTGTCAGCTGCCCCAAGGGCAATCACCTTAAAAGGTAGTTTGTTGCAAAATGTGGTAGTGTTACAACAGCTGTGACAGCACCCTCTGTGCGCTTCTGCCAGTTATGGTAACGTTTGGCATGTTTTCCTATTTAACATTTTTTGTTCTGCCTGCTCTGGCTGTTGTTTCTGTGGGCTTCTCAGCAGAGAGGGGGGCAGACCTAGCTGCCTTTGCAAAGACAGCACTCAACCCAGTTCTCCCTCGTGTGGCAAATGTACAACTAATTGATGGATATATGTATATATTTTCTTTCATTCTTGGTGGTCTTTGGTAAGATTTTTTGCAAACCTCTCTTACCGTCTTCACGCATGAATGAGGACTTGACCACTTCTAAAAAGGAAAGAAAGTATTGGTTAGAATAGAATAGAATCCTTTACCCCAAAATATTTTTGTATTGTGGCATTTCCACTTACAAAGTTGTCACTGGAGAAGCATTAGCAAAGACAGTGGTGTATACATAGAAGTTATAAGAAATCACAAGAGCTTGAGATTTAGAATATTCAGTGATATCTTTTATTTATAGTTTCTTTTTTTTTTCTTCTCTCTACCTACCTACCAGGAAATAAAGAAGGACATGAAGAAAGAAAATATTGCCAACAAACCACCAGAGAAGCCTATAAATGAAGTTTCCAATGGAAGCCCTTTACTGTTGTCTGAGACAATTATTAGAACCAACAAAAAAGGTATAGTATATAGAAGCTTAAACACATGAAATTCAGACCTTTAGAAGAAAGAAATGTAAACTTTCAGTGTTTCTGGAACTAAAGATGGAATTTATTTAACGGTAAAGGCGTAACAGGAATATTAAAAAAAAAAAAGTCTTGCTTTTTTCTTAGATCAACATAAAGATGCCTGTATTGTGTCTGATATTTACACTTTAATTTGCACAAGTATCTCTTTCTTATTAAAGAGATCTTTGCTAGATACATTTAATTAAGGAGATATGTATATGCAGATTGCTAAAGCTTATCAAAGTAAAGAACTGACAGTTTTGCATATACAGAGCTTTCTGCACGGGATGTCAATACACACTTGTTCCACATTCAGACTGAACCTGGTTACCAGCAGTAAACAACAGCAACAACAAAAAAAGATGGAAAACATAATGCTTTTATAATATTAGTTTCTTTGGAGGTGTGTAGGTGTATTTCAGATTGGACTGTGTAGTCTTCATGGCTGGCTTGACTCCCAAGGCAGAATCCTACATATGGCTTTGAGCTGCTAAAATGGAAGCCTCCAAATCTTCTGTCTTCTTTCCCACCTTCCAATCTCACTCTCAGAAATATTAGACAAAACAAGAACTTCTCCCCATAACAGATAACGAGCCAGATTTGTCTTGAGGGTATGTTTATATGACTGTGTAGGAGATGGGCTTTGTTTTTCCTGGAGAATTTCCTGGATAATCTCTTGCTTGTTCTCATTTTACAGAATATTCTGCTGTCATTAATCTTTACTGTATTGTAATTTCCATTTTGGCGCATCTTCTGTACTGCTAAGGCTATGTATATGGAAATATCCTCTTACATTTTATGGGTAAATATTGCATTTGAGCTGGCAGTTTGACTACAGGTCTTAGACCTGAGGTTTACAATTGCAAGTTGGGAAGATTTAATAATTTCTAAAAAATGTGAGACTTCCTTTATAATGCAGGGGGAGTGATCTCCATCTCTCTTGCTAGGAATTCTCTAAAACAAAAATTGGAAATAAATCCCAGACAACGTTGTCTTTTGAGTCTGCAGTGTCATCCTGAATCTGAAGATGTGTCCAACATTTCTGCTTTGGGTTGTAGATTTCTCAAGCAACAGCAGAATTAAATTACCCAGAATTATTCTTTTTCTACAGAACCATATGAGTAGTTGCGAAATTATCCAGGGAGCGAGTATGTTCCATATTGCTTCAGCTGCTGTTTGGAGAAGGCTAATCGCTGTGGCAGATGCAGAGGTCGGTGCATTCACGAGGGAATTGCACTCCCCAAATAATCCTTACAGCAGAGACTTTCTCCTCATCTTTCTTTCCCATATCTCATAGGCTTTGAAGGATTGAAAAGAAAGAGGGAATTCTTTTTCTCTCTCTGTAGCTTGAGAAGACGAAGGTCCAGGTTTATTGAACAGGCTAGCAAAAGCCGACATGAAGATTTGTAGCTTGAGAAAGGGGATCACGCTTGGAGGTAGCAGATCTCACACTAGGCTGTTGCTGCATTGGATATGACTGTAGCGACTGCCTGTGTCATGGCTGCACCTGGAGCGTCAGGGCTGGCACAGCGCTGGGCCTGGCTGCTGCTTCACGGCTCCGTCTGCAAACGGCTGTGCCCTGGCCGCCCGCGTCAGAGGGTGCCCAGCGAGCAGCGAGGCCGGGAGGGCCGCGGTGCTGACAACCTTCTCCTCGGGCTCCTGGAGCGCCGCGTGAGCGGCTTCCTTTGGGCGAGGGCAGCGGAGCGTCCGCGGAGAGCCGCGTGGCAAGGGAGAGGGCCCAGCGCCGTGTGGAGCACAGCTGCAGCGTTTTGCCGAACAGTGAGCCCGAAACGTGGCGTGGTTTTTCTTTTTTTTCCTCAAGTGTCCTTGTGCTGGAACTTGTTGTTAAAAGCTATCTAAGGTACTTAGTGACTGGCAAATGTGACCTAACCTGAGAGAGAGGACTATTTTCTTTCATGTTAGGAAATGAGGTTGAGGGGGATGCATCTCAGAGGTCTTCAAGTGCTGTTCAGCAATGAAAACAGCACTCAGTGTTAGCAAAACCATTTTTTTTAAAGTGATTTATTGGCTTGGGCAGTGTAATTTTACTATTTGTAATTTCAGAGCAGATACAGTGACCTGGGAGTAAGTATTCTGTGCTGGTACCTTGTTTTTTCTGCCTAGATGATATTAAGTACTTTTATACTACTATGGTGCTACATGTTGTAGTGCGCTACTTTTGGGTAGTTGGCATAATATAAGTGACAGCAGCCTGCAGGCATTTAAATTTTGAGTAAAAGAGTCTTAGACTCTTGGGCTTTTGAAAAGTAATATTTGATACCTTCTTTTACCTTGAGGAATATCAGTGAGTGTCCAAGAGCAGTATTCAAGGAAAATATCTAAATATATATATATACACACACATATATATATGTAAGAAACAATCTCAATAGCCAAGGGAGGAATTAATTTCTGAATAAAAAGGGTATTTTGGATCCAGCTTTATATTGTACCTTCATCCTAATTATTTATGAACAATGTGTTACAATTAATGGGTCTTTTAAAAAAGCAGAGTAGAATTGAAATATGTCTTGTAAGGGTTTGTTTCATCAAATTAGCAGTGGGCACTACTTCTGGGGATTATGGATGTAATCCAGGAACAGCCTAGTGCTGCAGTAGTATTTCCCTTATGTACTTCAACTGTGGTTGACTGTTGATTTCAGTAGTATTAGTTCTGGGTTACCAACCGTCAATCACTTAGTTTTCTGCTGTAGAAACCAGGAAGAACAGAAGAGCAGGGTCTTGTCTGCTTTTCGCTGAGAACAGTGAAACAAGAGTGTCTCCAATCCTTTAATGTTGCTTGTTGACCATTACATATACTAGCAACCCTCTCAGGAAACACCTAATAGAAGTGAGTGTTCTGGTCGACATAGCTCAGAAAATCATTATGCTTGGCCTTGGCACGTTTCTGAGAGTGAATATTTTCAGGGTTTTTTTTTACAGCTTTGCAAATATGGTCTAGAAGTTAGAGGCGCACAGAAGAAATAATGGGCTCAGTTTTCAGTTTTCTAGGTCTGCCACAGAGTTGCTGTGTAAGTTTGGTTAAATTATTTGAACTCTGGCCAAATTAGTACCTTTTAGTTCAGGGAACTTAATGCACATTTCTTTTTCAAATGTGCAGATTTTTTTTTTCTTTTTTTTTCTGCAGTGGCATATCTGAATGTGTTTATAACTTCCAAAAATTTGAGGTATTTTTGATTTAGGCTGCCTACTGCCCAAAGCTGAGTTAAAGCCAGCTCAGAGATGTTGAGATCTGTTGTAGTCACAGGTGTCAATTAACATCTAGGAATTGGAACATCTTAATGTAGTGTCACAGTGAGTTGATGCTGCACCTCTGAGAAGCTCAAGGAAGAACTATTTCCTCCATTATGGAGCTGAAGTCAGTAAAATCTTGCCTTTCTTGTGCCTTCCTTGACACTCCCAGTAAAGCAGCAGCTCCAGGTAAAATTTCACAGACTCTCCCAGGTAGAGCATCATCAACCCCTGTCTGAGAAGCATGGCCAAAGCACTGTGTAAAGTCCCTGAAACTGTATGAGTGTCACCCACGGTTGTCTTGTAGGGGTTGGGCCAGCACTGGAGAGTAATCACTCTTCTGTTACCTCCTACGTATGTCAAAAAAATCCTTGCCTGGCCAAATACAGGCTCTTTAGTATGTCTTTTTCCTACTCCGGAATTTGTACTTGGCATGTATAACTATTGTTCTTACTTTTGCGCAAACTCTGCTTTCAAAAACAAACCAAAACAAAAAATCCCTCTGTTCTGAGTAGAATTGGCGTTGTTGAGCCCCATTAGGAGCACATTGAGAAAACCTTATTTTCCCTGAGAGTATTCTAAGATGGTTAAGAAGTCAAATTGTTGTTGCTCTTATAATTTAACGTTGTAACAAAACTGCAGTCTGGTCTTGGAACAGGAAAAGATTTAAAGGTATTGGGTTTTTTTTAATATTTTTCCAACATGGTGCAGTTCCATCTTTTCCAAGTTAACTTTCAAAATCTAAAATCAGCTGCAAACTTGTGCAACTATCCCAGTTCTGCAATCAATTAAAAATACAGTCTTTATCCAGGTATAAAGACACATAATGGAAACTTGTATGTAGTGAGCTTAATGGTTTAATAGCTATGGCTTATCTTATGACAGCTTTTTTCTGATTTTTTAAGTATTCTGTATGTTCATTGTGTATCTCTTGTGTATCAGGGAACAGGAGCTCACTTGCTAAACTGCAGAATTGGAGCAACGTGTTGTAAGTTGACTATCAGCAATTGTTACACAAGTGAAAATATTTAAGGAAAAAAAAAATCCTTGCCAGATGTATTTGTTTTATGTAAACTGTAAATGCAGTCTGCACTGAGGCTATTCAAGCCAGAAAATCTGGAACAGCTCATCACGTTTTACATGCTCTTAATCAGGGCCAAACAATGAAAGCAAGGAAATGCTTTTTGTAGTTCTCTTGAGAATTATTTATTTTACCATTTACCCTACATTTAAATAATAAAGAGAATTTGTGTTCTTTCCTAAAAGATAGAAGTTTGTAAATATAGATTCACGGTATAATAGGTTTACATTATGGATAAAATAGCAAGAGTCTGTTGAATGCATAACTGAGATTTAAATCTATTTTTGTAAGTTAGAGAAATGGGGAAAGCATTTTGTAAGTAAAATAGATCATCATCTGGTCCAAAAGTTGTATGATTTTAAATTATTTGGATACAAAATGACACTCCATTTATTAAAAAGATAAGCTGATGGAGTTTTGGCTGTTTGAATTTTATATGTTTTTCAGTGTTGTGTATAATCTAGGATTCTGGCCACATTTTTCAACACAGAAGCAAACCTCAAGATTTTTTTCATGAATTGGTGCAGGACCAAACTTGGGGCAAACAACTGCCTTTGTCATGTGCCAATCACGTGTGTGATGAAGTATCTGGCCCTCCAGGGTGGTCAGCTTTGTTTTT